CTTATAACCCTGCCGAGTGGCTCGGTTACCTCTACTCTGTACCATATGTCCAGCCTCTTCAGCGTCTCCTTGGCAACTCACTGTATAATCTAAACTCCTAGATTCCTCCTCCTCTTCCTTTCTCCTCCTGGAGGTCCCACCTATCCTCTCCTGTCTAGCTATAGGCAGCTTAATTCTTTATTAAGCCAACCAGAAGAGGCCTTAGCAAAGACACAGCTTCATAGTGTACAAAAAGATTATCCCACAGCAGTCTTCTGACCTCTGCAGACACCAAATGCACACATGGTGCAGAGGCATACACACGGGTGAAACACTAAGACACTTAAAATAACAGAAATAAAACAAAACGATACAAATAAACCTAAAAAAGATTCTTCACTTAAAAAATTAAAAGCCTGAGTGCAGCCAGGCAGTGGTGGTGCACGCCTTTAATCCCAGCACCCAGGAGGCAGGCAGATCTCTAAGTTAGAGGTCAGCCTGGTCTACAGAGTGAGTTCCAGGACAGCCAGGGCTATGCAGAGAGACGCATAAACAAACAAACAAACAAACAAACAAACAAAAACACCTGAGCTCATTAACAGTAAGATTATCTGCATTGTTGAGTCCTCAAACCCACCAGCCCTTGAAGCCTCCAACCTGTTTTCTGATGCGAGAAATCTGATCCTCCTGGGACCTGAGACAGACTCCTTCAGAGTTTGTCATCGTGTGTCTGGCTGGCTTCTCTCAGCACAGGGTCCTCAGGACCCATCCATATCACAGCATGTGTCAGGGTTCTCTTCTCCTTTATGGTTGCATAACCTGCTACATGCACACAGTAAGTTTTATTTGGCCATTGACCTATGAACTGACCCTGGATTGCTTCAGCCTCCTGTTTACTGTTAGTTAATATTACTGCTGAGAACAAGAGTGTGGAAACTTCTCTCCCTCCCTCTCATTTAAAAATTATTTTGAGATAAGGTTCTAGTTGTTGTTATTATTATTATTATTACTTGTTTTTCCAGACAGGGTTTCTTTTCTTCCTTTCTTCCTTTCTTTCTTTTTTGTTGTTGTTTTTCAAGATATGGTTTCTCTAACAGATCTAGCTATCCTGGTACTCACACTGTAGACCACGCTGGCCTAGAACTCATAGAGATCCTCCTGCCTCTGCCTCCTGAGTTAAGGGCGTGTGCCACCACTGCCTGGATCAAGACAGGGTTTCGCTGTGTAATAGATCTGGCTGTTCTGGAAGTTGAGGCTGGCCTCAAACTCATAGAGATCCTCCTGCCTCTGCCTTCTGAGTGTTGGGATTAAAGGCGTGAGCTACCACCTCCTGACTTAGGCAAGGTTTTATTATGTACCCCAAACTAGCCTTGAATTCAGGGTCCCCCTGCTTCAGCCTCCTGAGAGCCTGCCTGTACTGCTCCTACACACTGGCCTTCACCCCTGCCTCTGGTGCTTACACCTGAGGGTGGGCCCCAGACCTGCTCTTAGCCTCTAGGCACAGCTGAGGCTTTTGCTGGCTTTGCCTTCTCTTTCTCTTAGTCTACCAGTGCTCTTTATCTGTTTATATTTCCCCGTTGCCTTGATGGAGTTGGAGGAGAGAGCAGAACTGTGGGCACTTAGTAGAGCCTTTTGGACTGCTTGTCATAGGATGTGTGCTTATAACGAGGCAGATCGCTGATGTGGTAACTCTCTAGCAATCGTCTTTCTTCTCTCAAAGTGATTCTGCCTGGGATGTGTGCACACTCTGTCTGTGACTTCTCTGTGGATGGAGTCAAGCACACTGTTTATGCCTGGAGTCGTTTCCTGGTGTACAATGTAAAAATCGCCAAAGGACTTCATTTCCATGAAAATGAACAGTGTCTTGTCTGTGAGTGTTGTAAAAGTGGTATTATAGTCTATGTACACTGCCAAATGTTTCTTCTAAAAAGCACAATGTTGGGGCTGGAGAGACAGTTAACCGTCCATAGCTCCTGTAGAGGACCTGAGTTTGGTTCTCAGCACCTGTGACTGGGAACTCACAACCACCTGTAACCCCAGTCCTGAGGGGTCCAGCACCCTCTACTGGCCTCCGTAGGCACTACATACACATGGTGTAGCCACACTCAGGCACATACATCTAGACATAAAATAAACACACAAACCCATTTTCTAAAGCACAATATAGGCTTGTTCTTTAAAGACGTGTTCATGTTATGCAATGAGCATCCCTGATCCAAAACACAAACCCAGAATCTGAACTCACCGAACACCAGCATCACCCACAGAAAACTCCATGCCAGGTCTCCTATGAATGGAGGTTAAATGAAAGAGAGTTAAAAGTATTGCATCAAGCTACCATCAGGCTATGTGCATAAGACACATGTGAAACATAAATGGATTCATAAGTTATATGCACAAAAAATATTCCAATCACAACAAACTTAGACTTCAGTCTGGCCGCACTGTTCTAGATAAGGTTGCCCCACATGACTTACCTGATGTTCCTCATTTGGCTGACGTCCTGTGTAAACACAGTCCTTGGTCACCATGACCGCTCATTCTCAAACTAATGACATTTAAATATGCTTCTGGGCCATGTGGGGGAGAGGCTTGAGATGTTTTCACAGAATGGGAAATTGGGATCAATAAACATGCTCCTGGTCACTTTAGTTTGGGTCAAGCTGTGTCCCTGATGTGACTCCTCTTCTTTTGTTACTTCTTTCCTTCCTTCCTTCCTTCCTTTACTTCTTTTTGTCCTCTCTCTCTTTCTGTTTAAAGAAAGGTTTATTGAATACACTACAAGAGGTACCCAGCTGGGCAGTAACTAGAGTATTGCTTACTGTAACTCCCCCTTTAAAAGGTTTTTAGAACTTTGTATCTACCCCTCTCTCTTCTCCACTAGCCCCTCCCACCCCCTCTAATTCCTCCTATGTCCTGCCCCCCCACTGCCTATCAAATTCATGGCTGACATCTTCTATAATTATTGTTACACACACACACATGCACACACACACACTCCTGAGTCCATTTAGCTTTGCTCATATGCACATGTGTTTAGGCCTTGATTGCCTTTACATTGGTCAAAATACAGAGAATAAGTGACCGTAGTGTGCCCAGCCCCAACTGGTACGTTGATAATGCAATCCCAAAGCCAGGGGACACCTGGAATGTGGTTGTACAAAGACTTTAAGAGGCAGAGAGGACCGGACACCTGCTTCTAGACAGGACAGCGAAGCCACACCCATCTAACAATATGGTTGCCTAGACCTGCATGGTGACACCCCTCTCCTTAACAAGGTCTGTAGGCTAAGGCATCCCCTTCCAGCAATACATGATTGTGCCAGCAGGTGGCGCCCGAGTACCATCGTTTCTAAATGGAGTCCCAAACCTCAGGCCCGACTTTTTACTGGTCCTTGCTATTTGAAAGGCAAACATTGAGTGAAAGGAAAGGCCTTGGAGATAATTTACCCCGGGTGCGATCTTTTCTGGACTCATGGTAACAAGTGCTTTTCGTGCTGGCCCCTAGCCCAATACTAACCGAGTCCCCCCTATACCTCCATCCTATACCCCTCTTCCCTTCCCACCCCCTCCTGTCTGGGACCCCACCCCCGCTGTGTCTTGTGGTCCTTCCTAATCGGTTCTGTACTCTTTCCGTGAAAGAGTCTCCTCCTATTAGTCTTAGCTGAACTCTTCTGCCATACTCTCTTTTGTTTATTTCGCTGCTACTAAAACACACACCAAAACAACCTGAGGGGGAGGGGGACAGGGTGCGCTTTGCTATTGAAAGAACACAAGATGGAAACTCAAGAGGGAACCTGGAGGCAGATTTGGCACCCTCTTCCTTGGGCACCTGCATTCATGTGTGTACACACATATAATACATACACCTAATTTAAAAAACAAAAATAAGGCTTTCATCCCACCAGCACTCTGGAGGCAGAGGCAGGCAGATCTGTGCGAGTTCAAGACCAGCCTGATCTACAGAGTGAGTTCCAGGACAGCCAGGACTACACAGAGAAACCCTGTCTCAAAAAAAAAAAAAAAAAAAAAAAGAGTAAGTAAATAAATAAAAATAAATCTTTTTTAAAAAAGAAAGAAAATAGCACACAAGGAAGGAGGCAGAACTCCTTCTGAGACACCTTACCTACTCTGTTTCATACGCACTAATTGTCGTGTTGAACGTTTGGAGTACCAAGAAAGTTTAAAGCTTGGTTCTTAGCTCTAGAGCAGTGTTTCTCAACATGTGGACCAGGACCCCCTTTGGAGTCAAATGACCCTTTCACAGGGGTCAGGGGTCACATATCAAATACCCTGTATATCAGATAGTTACAGTGCGAATCATAACAGTAGCAAAGTTACAATTACGAAGTAGCAACAATATTAATTCTATGGCTGGGGGTCACCATAATACAAGGAACTGTATTAAAGGGTCGTGGCATTAGGAAGGTTGAGAACCCCACTCTACAGCAACCACAACAACAGATGAAAAACCAGCTTCCAAGTAGGTGGGCCTGTGACCTTTTGGAATTACCAGGGAAAACTTCCCCAGGAGCAGCCCTGTTTCTATCCCCATTATGCATGTGGCGGCTCACAATCACTTGTCACTCTAGTTTCAGGTGTTTCCACACGCCCTTCGAGCCTCTGTGGGCACCAGATATGTACATGGTACACAGATGTTTGTGCAGGAAAAACACTCATGCACATAAAATAAAATAAGATGCTAAGGACTCAGATTCTGTCTAGTGAAATGTGGCCACTGCGGGATCTGATTACGGCAATACCTTGGTTGGAAACATTCTTCATACAGAAGTCTCTGGTCTCTTAGTTATGACCTGAAGCCTGGGCGAGACAAAACTCAGTGGTAGAATGCTTGTCTAGCGTGTTCGCATTCTGTCCCTGGCATACAGGTCACCCCTGCCACCAACAAAATCCTGAAGCCCATGTTTGTGCATTGCAGGGACATTGTGCAGGCTCCTCCCAGAGGTTCAGCTGGTGTTGCACAAGGCCAGCTTGTGTGTTAAGCAAATCCAACCCTAAGGTGAAAAGTCGGTGTCATTGGGTCTATGAGAACAGCCATGGACATGGAGAGGGTCAACTCCATGGGCTTCGGGGAATTTGTGGATGTGTTTGGGAACATCATTGAAAAATGCCCTCTGGTCGCAGCTGCTGTGTGGTCCCAGCGTCCATTTTCTGACTCGGAAGACTTAGAAAATCACTTTTTTGCTTTTATCGATGCTCTGCCAAGATCAGGTAAGACCATGAGCACAGAGCGATTTCCAATCTTTTCTATAAAAATAGTTGAGATTATTTTTAGCCCTGTTGTTTATACATAGAGTTATGTAGCTGGGGTTGGGGGGTTAAGCACTCTTGAAGGTGTTGGTACTAAGTAGACCTAAGGGTGTGTCTGGTAAGACAGCATGGCAAATAAACATTGGAGCCTGGAGGCCACCAACAGGAATGGGACAAAGACCTCTGTGAGTTAGAGGCCAAAGGGCAGGCTGAGGCTGGCCCCGGTCAGCCATGCAGTATCTGCTTTGGCCATGCTCTGGATGTAAGAGAGAAGGCTGAGCTTACTTCAGGGACCCCCAAAGGGAAAGCAAAGCACTGGCATGATTACAAGAAAGGGCATTCTCTCAGACCCCAGACTTTTTGGGAAAATAGGAGTAGTTGAGGTGGATCAGGGTGGTTCTAGGGAGAGAGAGCCCTGAAGCATGTTGCGCCGTGGGGTGGGAACATGAGGTACAAGGTCAGCCTGAACGGCGGCGGCGCAGAGGCCAAAGGCACACAGCCCCGTGCTCACAGGCTGCTCCCATCCCATGATGAGCCTGATATACCCTTGGGGACTTCAGGAAGGAGGGTGACCCTGTGGTCTCACGAAGGGGCAGGCACACTGCCGCCTTCAGGACAGTTGTGATGTTCAGTGGCTTCCCATCCTCACCTGGATGTCCTCATAGGAGAACTTACTGAGGAAGAATGGGGTTAATGCCACAAAACCAAACTGGGGGCTGGAGAGATGGCTCTGCAGTCTAGAGCACTGGCTGCTCTTCCAGAGGATCCCGGATCAATTCCCAGCACCCACATAGCTGCTCACAGCTGTCTATAACTCCAAAAATCTGACGTCCTCTTCTGGCCACCATGGACACCAACAACACGTGGTGCACAGACACAATGCAGGCAAGACATCAAGCATATCAAATTTAAAATGTAAGTGTGTGTATCTCAAACTGAAGTCCAACGTAGTGGCCCAGTCCGTATCCCCAGGACTCATTGAGCTGCATTCAATCCCTTGTGCATTGCCTCTATCAGAGGAAAACAAAAAACTGGAAACTCAATGTGTTTTAAGGCCCCAATCTTAAAATAATGAATCCAACATGAAATTTTAATCAGTTAATTTATGACTTTGTGTGACAGAGTATATGTTTGTGCACTTCATGAATGCATGTGTCTGTGGAGCCAGAAGTGGGTGTCAGATCCCCTGGAACTGGAGTCCTGGGCAGTTGTGAGCCACCTGATGTGGGTGCTGGGAACTGAACCCAGGTCCTCTGTAAGAGCAGTCAGTGCTCTTAACCACTGAGCCATCCCTCCACCCCAATCTAAAGGTTTCTGAAGAGAATGGCCAAACTACAAGTCAATCCCACAGCTTCTAGAGGATATTCTACATAATCTAAAACAAAATAAAAAAGGTGTGTTCAAGCGCTCACGTGTGTGTGTGTGTGTGTGTGTGTGTGTGTGTGTGTGTGGTATGTGTGTGTGCATATGTGCATTGGGCAGAGTGCATACATAGAGGAGAACATCAGTGTCTTCCCTTCTCACCTGATTTATTCCTTTGAGATAGGGTCTCTCACTGAACCCAAAGCCTGTTTTAGCCAGACTGTCCTGCAAGCTACGGGAGAATGTGCCTGTACCTGCCCCCAATCCTGGAACACAGGCATGGACAGCCAAGCCAGGCTTTTGACATAGATGCCAGGGACTCATGCTCCATGCTAACTTTTGGACAATAAGGAACAAACTGGGTGATAGTTTGCAGTTTAAGGGTAGAAAAGACCTCAAGAAGGCACCCTACTTTACTTCTCTGTTGCTGAGATATAGTGTCATGACTAAAAGCAATGCGGGGCTAGAAAGGGTTTATATGGATTACACTTCCACATGAACTCCATACCGAAGGAAGTCAGGGCAGGAGCTCAGGGCAGAAACCTGGAGGCAGGAACTGAAGTAGAAACCACAGAGGAATGCTGCTCACTAGCTTGCTTTCTTTGGCTTGCTCAACTTCCTTATCCAGCCCAAACCTGCCTGCCCAGGGATGGCCCCGCCCACAGTGGGCTGGGCCCTCTCACATCAATTAACAATTAAGAAAATGCCCCATAAACCAGTCAGTGGTGGCGCACACCTTTAATCCCAGCACTGGGGAGGCAGCCACAGATGTAACAGAGAAATCCTGCCTCAAAAAACCAAAGTAGGAAAAAAGAAAGAAAGAGAGAGAGAGAGAGAGGAGAATACCCCACAGACACACCCACAGGCCAATCTAATGGAAGTAATTCAGCTGAGGTTTCCTCTTCACAGATGATGAGTTAGTTTGTGTCAAAGTAACAAGAATGAAAGGTGGGGGTGGATGAGACTCGGTGCTCTTCCTGCAGAAGGATTTGCTTGGATCTTTTAGAAGTTATTTATTTGTTTTTATTTTATGTGCACTAGTGTTTGACCTCCATGTGTGTCTGTGAGGGTGTCAGATCTTGGAGTTGTGACCTGCCATGTGGGGCCTGGGAATTGAACCCGGGCCCTTTGAAAGAGCAGGCACTGCTCTTAATTGATGAGCCATCTCTCCATCCCCATGGATTATCTTTAAAAAAAAAAAATGGAGGGAGGGAGGAAGGAAAGAAGGAAGAAAAAGAAAAGGGGAGCAAAGGGAAAGTTGATCTCTCCTTTAGGTGACGCTGTGATGTGTAGTGGCCACTAGATGGCAGTACAGGATTAATATTGAGCCTAAGTCTTGCTTGCTAACATGTGTCTAGCCAATCAACGCAATCAATTCTAACTGACCTAAGCAGAGGCAAAGTGACAGTTATGGTAATGAAAGAAAGCAAGGTTGAAACGTAAGGGGAAAGCCCCTGGACTGACTCAGTTCTGTCCAAAGTGAGAGTGGGCCAGGGAAACAAACCACACCTAAGGGTGTGGGTTCCATCTCCAGTGCCAATCCCCACCACTCTCATTTCTCTTTATTTCTTGCTCTCTGTCTCTGCCAGTTTCTCCCCGTCTTTGTCTCTCTGTCTCTGTGTATCTCACTGTCTTTGCCTAGACAGCCCCCCGTGTGTGTGTGTGTGTGTGTGTGTGTGTGTGTGTGTGATTGCTCCTGTCTTTGCCATACCAATAGCATTGTGTGGACTTCTTAGAAAAGCTGTGTGCAGGCTACATAGGGCACAGGGAGATGGGTGAAGATGTTACTGCAATGGTTAAAAGTGAGAGCACAGGTTGTTTTTACTGTGTTAGGGTAGCAGGGATGGCAAGAAGCTGATGGTGAAGAGGTAAGACCTAAGGTCAACAAGATTTGGGTGGGTGGGTTTGCCGGAGGGAGATCAATATCAAGAAATGCTAAAGATAACAACTCCTCAGTGCTTGGTCTGAGTGGCTGGGTAGGTAGCCATGCTGTAATTCTCCTGGATACAGAAGACATAAAGTGGAAAATGGGAGCTTGTTAGTTCTGGTCCTAGCAAGCACAAAAATGAAGATGCTGGTTGTGCCCCTGGATCACAGAAAAGGAACAAACTAGATTCTGGTATCATGATAGAATTGACTGCACTGAAAACTGCATGTCTGCCTGGGGTGTGACTCAGGGGCGGAGTGTGCGCTTATCATGCAGGAGGCTCTGAGTGCAATCCCTGGCGCCAAAATATACAGATTTAAAGATAAACTGATTGTTGGAGCAGGAAATGCAGTTTGGTTGGATGGCAGAGTGCTTGATTAGGAAGCGGGAAACCCTGGGTTTGATTCCCAGCACACAGAATAATCCAGGCACAATGGCTGTACTCCAGCACTCAGGTGGAGGCAAGAAGGTTATCCTCAGCCATGTGTGGGGTTGGAAGCCAGCTTGGACTACGGGAAACCCTCTCTCTGAAGACAAATTTAACAAAACAAAAGTAAACCCCTGGACAAGAACACTTAACTACGGAAATGAAGAGGGGAAAGATGTGAACCCCATTCCTTTCACTGCAGACAACTGGGCTGAGCCAGACAAGGGCAGGCAAGCGAGGAGAGCCAGGTGGAGGGATGGGGTTCAGGCTAGACTGCTGGCATTAATTGACTCTGACAAGAGCAGCTTGGAGACGAAATAGAGTGAACTGGATGGAGAAGTGAGGAATTAGACAACAAGGATGGGAGAAAAGCAGAGAAACAAGGAGAACGTGGAGGGAACTGGAGTTCGGTGGAGGCTTTGACTCTGCCTTTGGGATGGTGGCCCTCAGTGCCTCCCCATTGGCTGGGAGATGGGGGGGGAGAAATGCATACATGGGGCGTGGAAGTGAGGTCTGAGAAGGAAAACCACAAGTGAACTCAAAGCACAGGAACCAGGAGCTGGAGCAGTAGCGGGTGGTTAAGGGCACTGACTACTCCTGCAAGGGATCCCGGGTCAGTGGTCAACACCCACTGGGTGGCCCCTAACCCACTGGTAAATCCACGTCCATGGATCAGATGCTCTTGCCTGCAAAGGCACCCACAAGTATGTGACACACACATGCATCCGAAATTAAAAACAAAGAAGCCACAAGTAGAAACTCAGTGTGGGTAGTCATACATGTAATTCCAGAACTTGGGAGGAAGATAGGAGTTCAAGGCCAGCCTTGGCTAAGGGAGATCCTGTCACCAAAAATAACACTTTGGCTAGAGAAGTGGTGGCTCAGAGGTTAAGAGTGAACACTGCCCTTGCAGAGGACCTGAGTTCTGTCCGTTCCCAGCATCCAAACCAGGGAATCAATCACCTGGAACTCCAGCTTCAGGGGGGTTGGATGCCTTGTCCATGGGCACCAAGGCACACATGGGTGGGCGTGCTTATGTGTACACACTTGTGTGCAAACACACAAAAATTTTCAAATAGGTGCTTTTTAAAAGATCTTTTAAAATAACTGGGTTTTGTTGTTGTTTGTTTGTTTGTTTGTTTAAAAAAAAGACTGGCAAAGCAGTTGGCCTTTACTAGACAACACAAGATCATCCATTGTTCCAAGAGCGGGGGACATATGACTGGTGAAGGCGGGCCATAATGGGATCCTGGGCCGTTGCCTCTTGGGGGAGGGTACTGTTGTTAGCCCTCCTCTTCACCTGTGGACTCAGAAAGACTTCATGAATACATCTGTGTCCTGTGTTCCCAGTAAGTAATACCTACCTGCACCTAGTGTCAAGTCATGACACTCAGCGACATAGCTGGGAAAGTCAGAGTTTCCATGAGACTGTTAGGAAAGAGATGAGAGGCTGGGCGATGGCTGCCAGCGCCTTTAATCCTAGCACTTGGGAGGCAGAGACAGGTGGAGCTCTGTGAGTTTGAGGCCACCCTGCTCTTCTGAGTGAGTTCCAAGACAACCAAATCTGTTACACAGAGAAACCCTGCCTGGAAAAACAAAAGGAAAAAGAAAGGAACAAGAAACAAATGAGGGCCGGGAGACTATACCAAGCATTGGGCCACCCACATGGGGAGACTCAGGGATGCAGGCTGACTTCCGCTCTCTAGCCACGTACTGGGGTTATTGGGGTTGGGGGGACCTTGAAGGAGACCCACTGATGATGTGAAATAGGGAAGGTCCTTGCTGTGTGACTGTAGGCAGATGAGTGCTGGCCTCCGCAGCACCCAAGGGATCAGTGGTTTGGAGCAATGAAGTGGGGGGGGGGAGGTGTCTATGTCTTGGCAAGCCAGTTTTCTTTCTTCTGCGTAGGCAACCATTCCAGACTTCAGTTTTTTCTTGTTATGTGCCGCTGAAAGGTGTGTGTGTGTGTGTGTGTGTGTGTGTGTGTGTGTGTGTGTGAATTTCGGTTCACTAATTTTCTTCTGCCCTTTGCTCTGCCCTATTCTGGGCCTCTTTTCTCGCCCCCATCTTGTCCTTCTCTGCAAGAGTGGAAAACACATCCCACTCCTAGGCAAACATTAACCCAGGCGATGCTTTCAAGAGGGAAGATAAACCCTAGGAGGAGTGAGAAGTGAGGTGTAAGGGCAAGAACATTGTATGGGGGGGTGGCGCTGCTAGGCAGCCTGCTCCTGCTTCACGCATGCGCTGCGTGCTGGCAGGTTCTTAAGGGACAGTGAGGGGGGAAAAGTTTTACAAAAAAAAAAAAAATAATAATAATAAAGACTTTCCACTCCCGAGAATCCCACCCATAACTGCTTTGATGGCAGCTTGGACTAACCAGGGAACACATGCAGTAAAACAATTAGATTCTTCTGGAGTTGTTTCAATCCTGAACAAGAGAAGATCAATTGAGGGTGCAAATGTGTCGGCTCCCCGGCAGCTCCCCTGGAGTAGCAAGGCTGCCTGCCCATCCTGGGATTGGGGGACTGTGGGGCGAATCTGACCTGAGTGCTGTGGAATTGCCAGCCGCTGGCCCTCCTGGTGGGGAAAATTTAACACCCACATTTTCGCACCACCCGGAAAGTGCGACTGTAGAGGAAGAGCGAACTGACTACTCCTGATTGTAGTGGCCTAGAATTAGGGTACCCAGAAGATGGGGAGAGTGGGATTGGTGACCCCTTAACCTTGCGGGGATAGGCATGTCATTGAGGGGTCTGTGAGCTTAGGGCGAAGGATACAGGTGCACAACTGAGTGGCCTTGGGCAGATGAACTAGCATTTACTTTCTGAGCCTCCACTGAATATTCTTTGTAAAAAATGGGCTTAATGTCTACTTTTATTTGTGTGGGTGTGATTGTATGCCGCTTTTGTGCGCCACGGTACCCAAGGAGGCCGCAAGAAAATTGTCGGATGCCCTGGAGCTGGAGTTCCGTATGCAAGGCTCTCAGGACACTGGCCACGGGTTTGCTTTGTTGAAAGACTTACTTTCCATCCTGTTAGGGGCTGGGTGGGAGACTACGTTTGCGGAAGAGGAGACTGCACCATATTTAAAGGGTAATTTTTTTCCTTCTTTGTGAATATTAAGATACAACGTACTAAAGGATGTTTTAATTATTTCCCAGTTTCAACAAAGCCTACCTATTCCCACTGCCATACAGGGACAGACACCAGCGGTCGCATCTCATGGCTCCATTTTCCTGGATTTCCCATTAACACGAACTGCTGCTTGTGCATTAGGTACCAGGGTGTGGGGAAATAAGTTATTTTTAGTTTTCCATAGTCGATGAATTAGTAAATCGGTGTGGCAGCTCTTCTTTTACAGAGGGCTGCCCTCCTGGCCACATTTGAGATCTTGTCTAACCTAGGAATTCCAATTCATTCCTTACAGGGCTAAACCTGCCAGGATGCCCGGGAGTTCCCTTGAATTAGAGCCCCCCAGTGTCACATCTAGGCTTTCCCACGGTGTGAGGCCTGGAAGAACATGCGCTTTCGCCCGAGCGGGCTCTGTCAGGAATCTGAATTCTGTCGGAGAAGGAATAGCAACACAATCCCAAAGAGAGGGTGATCATAGTTAAAGAAACAACCCCAACAACAACAATAAAAAGGCAAACCGCTTTCATCAAAAGCGGAAGAATTTGGGTGAAATGGGTTTCCGTTTCGGTTAATCCGCCAAGCTCTTTGGCTGTTTCATCCCAGAGACCCAGAACTCACACTTAGTCACAAAATCTAGGCATTTATTTGTCAAGTCCCATGGATAGTATCCTCTGGACCCACCCCACTCCTGCCTCTTCTCTGAGGCAGAACGAAACCCATTCCAGGACTTTTGACGGAAGTCTTCAAGCCCTCGCATCCGGCCCCCTTTCAACATCAAAGCCCCCCTGAGAGCAAAGGACTTTGAAAAGATAGGAGTAGCTGGGACTTCTTATCGCTCCCCAGCTCTTGGCCCCGCAGAGCAGGTCGTAAATTCCCAGCCTCTCCGACTGCCTTCTCTCTCCTCCTTTCCAGGATCCCCTAGGTCTGAAAGGCCAAACCTGTCACTCGCTCCCCGCCCCCGGGTCCTGGCGTGGTGACAGAGCCCCCCCCCCTGCATCCCGTCATTGAAGAGGGAAGAGGAACACCACTACCCACTACCGGGGGGCCCTGCTTGGCTTTCTGATCTGCTGGGGGGGGGGGTGAGGTTAACCCTCTGCCGGTGCGTGTCTGTGCTTTCCCACAGGCCAGGAGGGCATCCTACGTTGTCATCCCGACCTAGCGGGCCGCGATCTGCATCAGGGCACGCTCACCGCCGAGTCGCAGCGCGAGCAGAGCCAAGCGGGCCTCACCAGCCTGGACGCGGACGATCAGCTGCGGCTGCAGAAACTCAACGCGCTGTACCGAGAGCGCTTCGGTTTCCCGTTCGTGCTGGCTGCGCGCCTGAGCGACCGAGACACGGTGCTCCGGGAGCTAGCCCGCCGGCTACACTGCCAGCCCGAGTTGGAACTGCATACCGCCCTGGGCGAGGTGAAGAAGATCGGCCACTTGCGCCTGGCAGATTTGTTAGGCGCCGATCCTGCCAGGGTGGAGCCGCCCGGGGGCTGGAGATCCGAATGCCAGAAGGATGCACCACTGGGGGGACTTGGCGCTGTACACCCTTCGCTGGAGGCTGGCTCGGGCTTGGGAGAACAATCCACTCACCCACACAAAGGAAGTGGAGAATTGAAGCATTCACACGACTAATTCAGCCTTTGTCCACCCATCCACACAGCACGCGTCGCCAAAATATGTCAGATTCTAGAGTGTTTAGCGCTTTGCCCCCGATTTATCCAGATCGCTGCTTCAATTCTCCACTCGCCTTGCGGTCTGCCTACACTACAGCCTTGGCGGGTTGAAAGCTCCCTCCCCGCTCCCCAATCTCTCCTGCTAAGCGGGAGCTGGAAATGCAAAAGGCACTCACTGAAAAGGTAGTCTTGCATTCCATAGTGGTCTTTCTTCTCCCACTTCATTTACAAGTGAGCAGAAGCGACTGCCTCACTCTAAAACACCCATGAGATTTGAAGTTGGGGGGGGGGGGAATTAAAACACTGGTTTGGTCCCAGGTGACCAACTAGCAGCAGTGGGAGTTGAGTCGTCCCACTCAACTTCCAGCCTGGGGAGGATGCCCTAAGGAGGCCAGTGTGTGTGTGTGTGTGTGTGTGTGTGTGTGTGTGTGTGTGTGTGTGTCCAAGTTGGAAAGTTTTGATAATTAGGAGCCAGTGACACCCTTGTCCCTCCAGAAGATCAGCCTTTGGTGGTGGACTGGACTGCCCTGCAAGCCGTTCAATATTAAAATAGCAATGCTCATTGGACAGTCGTGGGGGTCGTGTAGCCCAGGATGAAGACGGTATCCCACCGTGCTGGTAATATGGACACAGGGATGATGCCCATAGAGATCTTCCCATAAAACAAGTCAGAGGCTTGGGAACCTGTAGCTCTACAGTCAGCCTGCAGTGACCTCAGGAGAAGCAACACCACCAGCAGGAGGGACCATCACAACACCCCCTCCCCCAAAGAGAGGGGGTGGAGTTAATGTGTCCCAGGAATACTACTCAGGCTTCTCTTGGCAAAGAAAAAGCAAAGCCACACTTGGCTCCCCTCAAGGAACACAGAGTTGATTTCCATTAGTGAACAACCAAATAAGACAAAATGCATATCCCCGCTCCATGAAGAGTTGTGCCACAGAACTTTGAGCTCTGGGAGTGATGGTCCACAGAAATAATCCCCTCCCAGAGCACTCAGAATCAAAATAAAGGCTCCTGTTACCTTTTCTGGCACCTCATCTATGTCCCTGAGCAGTGTGGGCATAAGAAACTGGGGATAGGAGAGTGGATGGATGCCTTGGAACCCGGAGCCTATGGTGAGCCATCTGGGGTACAGGAGCACCAGATGCCCACACAGGCCAGCACTCGATGCCTATCTCACTCTCTCTCTTACGCAAGTGCACAGGCCCAGGCCAGGATGAAGACTCAAAATCCACTATACTCAAACCATTCTGCCTAGCCCTCAGGTAAACCCAACCCTTACTCAGATAAATGGGCCCTAAAAAGCAGAATCCACCCTCTTTATGTAAATTTGCTAAGCAGAGAATCCAACGGGACAAGATTCCTAGGACTATTTTTAGAATCATAGATGCAATCTGTGCTTTAGAAGAACGACCGGGTCTCTCCAGTGACATAATTGCATTTTAACAGTCAAGGGCTTATCCCGAATTTTTTTTACCCCTGCGGGAAAGGGCATGGGTTGGGCAATTGCTGGAGTCCCTTGGGAGGGAGGTGGCGGTAAGTGGACAAAAACAGGCTCCTCAAGGACTCTTTCAAAGACGCTGGAGCGCTGGCGACCCGAAAGGCCAAAGCTGGATACTACGTGAGGGAGGAATCCATCTGGGAACTGGGAAAGAACGGTTGCCGCTTTTGAGGGCCCTGAGGCCAGTTCCCTCACCAGCAGGTGACCGTTGCTGCAGAGGATGGTAGGCAGTTTCCTTCCTCTGTACATATATCTGAGTTCCAACAGTGACAAGTTTGCTCCTGGCGCTGCCCCTTGTTCCTTCCCCTCTGGTCGCAGCGTGCGGGAGACAAGCCTGCACTGCAGGCACCGCAAGGTGCTGGGACCCGGCAAACACCAGGAGGGCACAGGCATATCTGGTTTGCATTTGGTGGGAACAAAATTTTATTTATGAATTCGTCAAGGAAAAATATTGAAAATTAAAAAGAAGTAGACAGCCTAAGGATTCGAGGACAGTCTGTTTTGACAGCTCACCAACACACACACACACACACACACACACACACACACACACACTGGGGGGAGGGGGTGTGCTTCACTCCTCATCTCCCCCATTGTCACTGTCCCTTACAAAAACATCCCAGCCCAGCAGGCGAAAGTTCCTGTAAAGGGACCTCTGCACTGCACTAGGCTCAGCCTGGAAACCAGGAACCTGTTTCCAAGCTTGTTGCTCTCCTTTGTAGCAGGAAAGGATGGGAAGGTGTTTAAAAGCCTATTCTGGGCCTTGGTCTTTAAAGACGCTGGTATTTAACAAAGGGGGTGGGGGGCACACATTTGATGCCTACCTCTACTCTTTTTTTTTTTTTTTTAAATCGGGTACCTTTCCAAGTTGAGTCACAGAATGTCAGTTCCAGCTCATAAAAAAAAAAAAAAAACGAAGTTCACCCCCCCAAAAAAAGTGTTTGCTATGAGAAAAGTAGACAGAAACCTTTACAGTCAGTTGGAGAAGAACATCTGGAGGAAATGTTTTCAATAAACAGAAACACTGAAGTGAGCAGGTACCCCAAAAGGAGAGCAGTATGGAATGTGGTCAGCATGGCATTAGAAAACTGGATTGTTCTGGTATTATGGTGTGTATAGGGTGGGGAGTTCTCAGTCCATGAATCCTGATAGCTGGCTTTGTACTGGAGATGTTTCCAGGGTGGCACCAACAGACATAGTAATCATTAACATCTATACAGACTGCTGTATGTTGCAAAGATCGGACATATTGTACTTTTGTTTAATGCTGAAGACCAGAACAGCTAGCTATGAGACCTTGGGAGGATCTCCAATCCTCTCTGGTCTTTGTAAAATAGGAGCTTGTCCAGGTTCTAAGTGCTGCCATCACTACCACTATCATCTCGACCATCCACCATCACCTCCACCACCACCATCACTACCCACCACCACCACCACCACCACCACCACCTTCGTCACCATCATCTATCATTACCACCCACCATCATCACCACCATCCACCACCACCATCACCATCATCCCTATCATCACCACCCTCACCACCACCCACCACCATCACCACCATTACCACCACCACCACCACCACCATCACCACCCTGCTTCAGGCAAGGTAGCCTGTCAATGGATACGAATTGAGAGAGAGACAGGTTTGTCTATGTTCCTTTCCTAACTAGGCACACAAAACTTACTCTGTGGGCCTTCCTTGGAAGAGATTTTCATATGATAAACAAAGGTCATCCCAGGCATGAGACAATGGTGAGTGAACATGCTAACGGAAGAGCACTGGTAATGCTCTGTTGTGAGCCTGTGATACCAGCTCTCCCCAGTGCTTCCCAGCCTGTGAGACCCTGAAATCATTCCCTCTCAAAAGCTCTAGTCATATTCTCTTTTCATCTCCTACACAGAAATCAAACGGATCACCCAGCACTCCAAGTAGCCACACACTAATTTTAGAACAAAGGAAAAAATAAGTTATTCCTATTATTTGTTTAACTTCCATCCAATGAGCAAAAACATTCTACAAAGAGTCCTAAAGCCAAACATTTCTCCCTTCCCTCAACAGCCTTGTTTTCTTGGACCTTCTGGCTGGGGGAATATATTTTGGGCAGAACAACAGAACAAGCTATGTCCCCTGCATTGGATCAGACCGCTCCATGGTCCCTCTCAAACTGGGGAATCCCAGCTCATATTACCCTGCCATGAATTCTGGAAGCTCCTCTTGGCTGGAAAGGACGAGGGCCCCCAATGTGCTTAGGAGGAAAAAGCAGGTGACATTTGCCAGCTGAGACCATATCTGCTTCTGCAGACAGCTGTGGGCAGCTGCAGCTCCTCCTCCCTGCTCTGGATGGACACTTGGGTCTCCATTGTAGCCTAGTGTACTGGACAGGTGGCAGACTCAGGGGAAACCCTAGAGATAATGCAATGCTATTGACTTCCGTCTCAGAGATGTCAGCTGAGTGGTTTGTGACAAGGCCTAGTGCTATCCTTGGGGTCAATTCATGCATTATTGAGTCTTTCTTTGTGTGAGTGGATTGTCGTTGAGTAGAGTGGCTCAAAGATCCCTGGAGTTTGGGCAGTTTCCCCACAGCACTCTGCTGACAGCCTGAGCCCTGGCCACAGGCTCTCTCTCCTTATTCCGGGAGATTCAGGCTTTTAATGAGCAGTGGCATTACTGAGATTAGTCCTGTCTACATGGGACTCAGAAAGGACACGTTCGTGCCAAAGGGGCAGAGAGAGCTCATCCTGTGGTAGGTGGTTATTCCTCACAAGCTGCAGGCACCACACATGTGGATCAGAGGCAAGGTCCTGTGGCTGGAACAAACAGCAGGACCTTTGAGCAGGCAGGGAGCCCTGTAAGTGATCTGTGGGTTTAAGGAGTGCCCCATCTGCCTGGTGGGGGAGCCCACCCTTTCCGGTACCCTCCAGTCCCTTCGGAGCCCTGGCTCAGGCCACCAGCCTGGATTTGACCCTCCTCAAGGAATGTGGAATGGTCTCGGTAACAAAGAGCCATCCCTTTGATAACCAGGTTGGCTGTTCTGCAGTCTTTCTGTGGCTTCATCTAACCGAGATCTTTTTTTTTTTTTTCCTTCTCGCTGAGGAATGGTGCCTGGGATATTAAGTGGAAGGCACCTACAGTACAATTGGGGGACACCCAGAGTGGTCCCGTCTCTAGTAGTGTCATCTCAGACTAAAAAACACTAAGAAGGCTGCTAAGCTCTTTAGCGCAACAGCAAGGGGAGACTGAAGGACTTTTCTGCTTCCTGCTCTGCTTTATGCCAGAGTCGTGGGTCAGCGCTTGAGCCCAGAGGGGATTTCCAGAGGACAGGTGCAGCCCACCAACCTGCCAACCTGCTGGAACTGTCCCCAGTGGAAAGATACACAGGCTTCCTTCCCATTTGTCACACTCTACAGAAGTCAGAATTGTTCTCACAGCTCTGTCCCTTTGGGGGGACACAGCTGGGCCCTTTTTTAGGCTGAGAGAGAAAATGATAGGGAGGGGGACTTGGAAAAATTTCCACTCTGAAGAGCTTGTCAAAGGACAGCATTTATCAGCCCTTTCTCCGCTCCAAAAAGCCCAGCCTCTACCATTGCAACCATGGTCAGGCTACTACTGTGGGTATGCCTAGGTTTACAAGGTGGAAACTTGTAAACTAACAGTTCCTGTTAGTATCCTAGTATCATCTCCTTTCCTGGGTTCAAGCACCCCAAATAAAACTCACTTTGTGCCCCTGTTGCTTGGCCTTGGGGAAGCAGAGTAACCCTATCTGCCTCCCTAGCAGTGCCCAAGCTGGAGTTCCTTTTCCCATGGTAGGGCACAGAGACACAGCTGAAACATGGACAATTAGCCAGAGGCTGGCAGCCTGGGCCATAAAAACTCAGGAAGTAGCCACCACAGGGCGGAGGGAATGGCTGTCCCTAATAAAGTGATTGTTTCAAAGAAATGCCAGAATGCAGGCATTCAAGGCAGAGCCTGGGTCTGGGCCTGGCCTTCCAGAGTTCCAGTCTGGGAGGGGACATGAAGGATGGAAAGAGGTATTGAGTTTCAGGAAGAGGTGGGAGATACCTCCAAGATCAAAAGTCTACAGTGCCCACCACTTAACCCCCACATCCCAGCCACCCCATAGGGACTGTGAACACCCCGTTCTGCTCTTGCCTTCTGTAGTAGGGTTTGATATTTATTTCCAGGTTTGTTTCTTGGAAAGTGAGATGGTTCCTATTAGGTACCCACCCAGGAGGGTTGAAGCAGGATCCTCCAGGCCTCTTGAGGGACAGCTCTTGAATATCCAGCCACTCCCAGTTTTAACTTTCCTGACAAAACACAAAGGGTAGGAAGAATGGGCAAGTCCCCACAGTTGGAGGAGATACAGGAGGTGAGGAGTCAAAGGAGATAAGGAACCCCGGAAAGTGTTTCCCCAGGAGAACATATACCCAGAGAAACAGTGAGGAGAGAACCCACACAGCCAGGAGCCCACAGGGCTCCAGGAAGGGTTCCAGGCACTGGCAAGAACAAAGTAGAACTGCCCAGTTTGGGCCTGGACAGTTTGTAACCTCATGTCTGAAGTGGCAGCCCCAATATCACAAAACTGCCTAATGCAATCAGGTGGCTTCCTCCCACCCCAAGGCTCTGCTGTAGGGGACCTGTCCAGGTCTCAATGTCAGCATTTATTTTTCACTGGCAATACTTTATATTGACAGTAGATTGCCCCTTCATTCCCTGGGATGAACACCACATTTCTGTAGAAAGGGCTTTACATCATAAAGGAGAAAGAGTTGTCTTAGCCTAATTTAATGTTTTCAAAGATGTATTTATTACTTTTATGAGTATGAGTATTTTGTCTGCATGTATGTCTGTGGACCACTCATATGCCTGGCGCCTGCCTGAAGAGGTAAAAAGAGGGTGCCAGATTCCCTTGGGTTGGAGTTATGTACAGTTGTGAGCCACCAAGTGGGTACTGGGAATTGAACACAGGTCCTCTAAAGAACAGCCAGTGTTCTTAACATGTCTCCAGGCCCAAGGAGAAAGTGTTTTTAAGACAGGGGCATAACTGGGTAGATGTTGACAGAAATATGCTCCTTAATTTTTCAATTCAAATATTTTTAATAAAAATATACGTTTAATTGATTGAAATTTCAAACTGAATAACCCTGTGATTAGCAAGAGGCAGAAATTTATGGAGACCCTAGCCATCCCTTTTCCATTACTGCCTTCCAAGGTAAGTCATAGCCAAACATATCATGGTTTTGTAGAGGTGTTTGGTTCTTTAATGTAAAAATGGATTGTTTTAATTGAACTCAAATTCTAAGTGTAAGACAAATTCGAGGGCGCAACCTGGAGCTAGAATCGTCTTTTATCTTCGGAGGTCGAGTGGTTTCCTTTGACAAGGAAATAAACTTAAGGAATAATGCTGTTGTTGGGAAGGCAGTCAATCTCATCCTGGCGGGAAGGAAAGGTCCTGGCCTTAGTTCCACAAGTCAGAAATATCCTCAAAGCATTTTTTTCCCCTTTCTCTGAGTTTCTTGACCACCTCCTCCCTGCGAAGGCAAGAACAAGATTGCTCCTGTCTCTAAATCCAGATTCCCACCAAGACTGCTCTCGCTCTACCCAAGGCTTTTGCAAGTCCCTTGATTTCATTCTTTGAACCTGTGATTGGAGGTTAAAGTGCAGCAGGTTGGAAGGAGGAAGCTCTTTAACAATAAAGGATTGAATATTTAGCTGTGATCTGGTTGCTGCCCTCTCGCAGTCCCCCCTTTATCTTTTAAAATGCAAATCTTGTTTCTGGGGGGTAGTGAGCGTGGTGCGCTGCGCTTCGGCGTCTCCAGCCATTGGTGTCTGTGTCATTACTAATAGAGTCTTGTAAACACTCGTTAATCACGTAAGGCCGCTGGCCTGGGACTCCGCAAGCCAACCTGTGGCGGGTCTTCCCCGCCTCTACAGCCTAGTGGCAAGGAGGTGGGAGGAAAGAAGGAAGAGAGGGAGGAGGCAGGACAGAGGGAGGGACTGCCCGGGAGGCAGGAGCGCTGCAAGGAGCCAGCGGAGCACCGTGGACCGAGGTGCAGCCAGCCAACCGCAGCTCCCTGCGCCCTCTCATCCCTAGCCCTCTGCGCCCCTGGCAGCCTCCAGCGTTCGTCCCCAGGCAGCATGGTGAGGTCTGTTCTGGGTCCCTCGCCACCATGTACGTGAGCTACCTCCTAGACAAGGACGTGAGCATGTATCCCAGCTCCGTGCGCCACTCGGGCGGCCTCAACCTCGCGCCGCAGAACTTTGTCAGCCCCCCGCAGTACCCGGACTATGGTGGTTACCACGTGGCGGCCGCGGCTGCTGCTGCGGCGAACTTGGACAGCGCTCAGTCGCCAGGACCATCCTGGTCCACCGCGTACGGTGCCCCTCTCCGCGAGGACTGGAACGGCTACCCGCCTGGGGGCGCTGCCGCGGCCAACGCTGTAGCCCACGGCCTCAACGGGGGCTCCCCGGCCGCCGCTATGGGCTACAGCAGCCCCGCCGACTACCACGCTCACCATCACCCGCATCACCACCCGCACCATCCGGCCGCCGCGCCGTCCTGCGCCTCCGGCTTGCTGCAGACGCTCAATCCCGGCCCTCCGGGGCCCGCAGCCACCGGCGCCGCCGAGCAGCTGTCCCCCAGCGGCCAGCGGCGAAACCTGTGCGAGTGGATGCGGAAGCCCGCGCAACCGTCTCTGGGAAGCCAAGGTAAGCGGTGCTGGGGCGCGCCCCAGGTCCCGCGGGCACTGGGACTGTCACGGGCTGTCTGCGAGCTTCTCGCCAGTAAAGGAGGGGCAAGGGGGAAACACAGGGATGGACCCCTGGGGGTGTCTTTCTCTGACGGCCGTCCCCGAAGTGCGTATTTTGTACCTCGCACACTAAGGTTTGTTTAGGGCAGAGGAATGGTTTCCTCTTCCTAACAGTTCCTTGTTGGCAACATCGGGATACCTTCGGAAGCTCCCGGCAATGCCGTAAGCACTGTCGGCCAGCCGCTGGGAGAATCACGTCCTTGAGTTAGCTGCATTCCTTACAAAGCATTCCTTACAAAGCTCGCACCGAGAAGAGGGGACCTTAGATTCCCCTTTACCATGCCTACATCGCTTAGCTACCCATTCTCCTTTCTCCATCTGAGAGTGAGGAGGCTGCGCCAGGACCGGTTTGGCCATAGGGGTCAATTCAAGGGGTCAGCGCTGCTGTGAGCAGAGACTGGACACTGCTGTGAGTCGCTGGAGAGAACGCGCTGGCCTCGGGAGTCTAAGGGGAAGGGGGCGCTCCAGGATCCCTGACCTTTCCTTCTGCTAAGCAAAGTCTCCCACGGAAGTCTTCTCTGATCATCACAGAGAGCAAGGAGAGGGTAGAGGAAAGTCTCTGATCAGACACTCGGCTTCTTCAGACGCGGGCCGTTTTTTTCTTGAACCTTCCCTTCAAGAATTTCGTGTGTCAGCGCGTGATGTGTGTTCCAGACTCGGGAGATAATTTCATTAAAGACCCTAGATTTGCGGGACTTCGGGACTCACCGCCGCCGGCTTTGCCCTTTGTGCTGTTCAGATGTGTATGGGGGTGGGAAGGAAATGAGAAAAGTGTGACAGGGAAGTGGTATTGGAGTCCCCTTTTTGTTCCGTGAAACCTTTTCCAGCTCTTTGAGTTTCCGCTTCTCTCGGTTTGCTTCTTGTCAGTGCAGACGGGGCCACATGCAGGTTATGGCCACTTTGCGGAGGTTTATAGCCAATTACAGCCGTATAAACCAGAGCGGCACTGGGGGCCTGTCTCAGGACTCTTTCGCCTCTCTGCGCGCACCCCATGAGCGTCCTGGTGGGCGATGTTGTCGCAGAGAAGGCAAAATGATCACTGGAGATTAGTCTCCAGTGTGCTTTGGCTTGGTCATTTCCAAGAGGACTTCCTCCTAGACCTGAGCTACCCCCAAACCTTCCTTCCACAAGCCTGCCCTAAGGACAGTGGGCGGGAGTCGCCGACAGGGGTCTTAGACCTACGAAAGATCTTTAGCGTGCCAGGGGTTGGGTGGTCCTAGACTGGGGTCCTGGGAGGGGGAGGATAACCTCAGGAGCCTAGGCCGCGGGGTCAGCAGATGAGAAGCCGCTGTGAAGTCCCGCGCGGAGGTGGCAAGGCTGCTGTCGGCGCCGGGCGCCCTTGTGATGTTAATGTGGGGAGGCTGTGGCCCGCAGCGCCCGAGCCCGACTCTTCTGCAAAGCGTCATCTGTCAAGGGGCAGAGGCGTGTACGCCGCCTGGCCGTCTTTGATGTACACCTTTTCAGCCGGGCCATTGTCTCTTTTAGGGCCCGGAAAGAGGGTGGTGACTTTCGCAGTCAATAATGAATTCTGACAACTCCTTCTCATCCCTCCCCTCTTCCAGCCCCCCTCCTTGGTTCCCAGGGGGTGCGGGGCCACCTCCAAGGCCTTTGGGGGAGCGGACCTCAAAGCGCGCGGAATCCTTATCCTCAGCCTGCTCGATGCTGAAAAGGCAGCATCCATCCTAAAGCGAGGACCGCTGTGGGGAACTGTCCTGTGCCTAACTTCCTGGCTCTGATAGTTTCCTTTTAGGACTCCAAGTGCTGTGCTATTTGGGCTGTGCACCCAGGTCCGGTTCTGTCATCCTCTGGAGTGGGGCCCTCGCAAGTGGAGTTCAGGATGCGTTTGCTCCCTTTTCTTCCAAAGCAGGAGTGGGGTCGGGGCCTCAGCTCCCATTCAAATGCGCCTGCGGGGCTGTGTTTATGTTAATGCGCCTGGTGGGGAAGGGGATGAAAGCTGAGGCCGCCATTTGCTCAGTAGTGGTAATTCAAACAGAACGCGGTTGTTATTAAGGCATTGAAAGGGTTTTTCTTTGATAAGATCGCCTTGTCCTGCATTGTTTGCGTCTGTGTTCCCCTTTTAGAGGCTGGGGGAGTTTTCTCTGATCCCGCCTGTGTCCTCCCAGGGAGCTTTTGTTGTGGTTTGCAAAGGTTTTTACCTGAACAAAGTCAGCCTGCCAGGCCTTAAACACCTCTGGGCAACTCCCACCCCTTAGATCTCCTTGTTCGACTAGGCGTTGGGCTCTAAAACCTGCTCTGCTGTGAGGCCTCTCCAACTTGGAACGTGGAACAGTTCCTGACCAGCGTTCTGTCGGAGAAGCAACCCCCGACAGAACCGGTGAATAGCCAGGTTCCAGCCTGGTGCAGCAGTCCCGCGCTATTTGTCAAGGCCCTTCAGTAAAACAATCAATCCAAGATTTAATATGTTGACTCAATCCAATGATCATAGGTCACTGGTCAGGATAGTTGTCCCAGGGAATAAATGGGGAATTAGAAAAAGAAAAGGTATACCCTGGGCCAAACCTGGTTGGGCGGGTGTGAAGTGTTCTCAGCAGGAGGGATTTTCCTCCTGATGTCACGGAGTTCAGAATTCCAGGGCAGGAGTATCTAGAATATGGTTCGGCTGGCTTTCAGGGCCAGTCCCTGCACCCACCTTTCCACTGTATTAAAGGGTAGCCCCCCCTCCCTTACGCTGACCCCTCAGGCCCAGATGTTTTAAAGGTGGCTGCCATTTCTAGTAAGCCTGAAATTGTAGATAGTATATACCTGGGGACTCTGGCCACTCCCTCCTCCCTTTCTTCTGGTCCTAAATATACTATATTTGGTGTATGGGAAGGAGGGGGCTGTGTGAGAGGTTTCTCTTCAGTTTAGTTGTGCCCCCAGGCTCACATCCTTCCACTTCCCCGGAATCCTGTGGTGGATATTGTGAGCATTGGTAGTAGACCACAGTCAAACCTGTTTCCCCCACATCAGTGAAGGAAGAGAAATGGCTCCTGGGTTAGGGAGGTTTGTCATTACCTATGACTGATGGATTATAGTTCTTAGCCAAAGCTTCTCCCTTCCTCCACAGTGAAAACCAGGACGAAAGACAAATACCGGGTGGTGTACACAGACCATCAGCGGCTGGAGCTAGAGAAGGAGTTTCACTATAGTCGATACATCACCATCAGGAGGAAAGCTGAACTGGCAGCCACACTGGGGCTCTCCGAGAGGCAGGTGGGTGTCACCTTCACAAGGTCTGGTTGTTTTTGCATGGGAGGGGGTGGGGTGTGTAGCATTAGAAAGCATGGCCAAGAGTCAAACCTGTTACCTCCGTGAAAGGAAGAGAGCAAGCAGTTGCTTTTTGAGAATCCAGGAGGTTCCAGTTGTCTTTCCTGATGTTTCTGAATTGCTTTTTATTTAGAGGGATCTGAGAGCTGCAAGAAAAGCCAAGACGCTGTGGCAGTATGTAACTCCACTTAGGCCAATAAAGATGTATTAGGATAGTAATTTTTAACCTGTGGGTCCAATTTAAAATTACAGTAGCAACAAACTAACTTTATGTTTGAGGGGGATCACCAGACATGAGGAACTATATTAAAGGGACACAGCATTAGGAAGGTTGAGAATCACAGTATTAGGGTTTACACCCAGCACTAGAAAAGAAAAATAAAGGCCCAGCCTACTCATTTATATTAAGGAGGCAGGGGCTGGAGAGATGGATGGCTCAGCAGTTAAGAGCCCCTAGTGATTTTTCAGGAAGATTAAGTTCTGTTGCAAGCGCTCATGTCAGGTGGCCTATAACTCCAACTGCCTCTCGCTTCTGTGGATGTTCTCATTCTGTTATATGCACATACGGACACATACACATAATTCAAAATAAAAAACGAAAGCGTTGAGGGGGGAAAAAAAGAAGCAAAGAGCTATTAATTGGCACAAGAACACGTCTACAGGCTAGGGAAAAGGAAAAGAAAGCAAACCAGAACAAATTCACAGCCAGGAAATTTTTGTGCGAAATCTCACTGCCCTCGCCGAGGTGAAGAACATCGCACATAGTTCATCTGTCCCTGTGAAGCACACCTGAGCGGGCCATCCGTCTACATAGGGAGCACCTTTCGGGGTGGTTTCTTTCTGTTCCTTGGTTCTGAGGTTTCAAAGGGCTGCTTCTCATCAGGGTTGAAGCTCTCGATGGTGCTATTTCTCTTTTCATATCCTCTCCTACCTTCTATTTTGTCGTTTCTAGGTTAAAATTTGGTTTCAGAACCGCAGAGCCAAGGAAAGGAAAATCAACAAGAAGAAACTGCAGCAGCAGCAGCAGCAGCAGCCGGCACCCCCTCCACCACAGCCCTCGCAGCCACAGCCGCAGCCAGGGGCGCTGAGGAGCGTGCCGGAGCCCTTGAGTCCTGTATCATCACTGCAAGGCTCGGTGCCTGGTTCTGTCCCTGGGGTTCTAGGGCCAGCTGGAGGGGTGTTAAACCCCACTGTCACCCAGTGACCCTTCCCATGGTCTGTAGCGGCGGCAGAGCAATTCCAGGCTGAGCCATGTGGAGCATGGGCGCTGCTAGAATCCTCAGACGAGACCCCTCTCCTGCCACCCACAAACAACACCTACAGATGAAGAATGGGGGACAGAAGCAAAGACAAGTGGGATTGTGGGCCTCAGGGGAAGATATGGTCCAGTTTTTTATTTTTTCCATTCTGACTCTTCCTGCTAGTGATGAGAGAGGAAGTGATCGCAGGGGCTTCGTTCAGGCACCAAGCTTTCAGCCTCTTGTGCCTCAGCCCTTTGCCTCCCGCAAGGACTGTATTTCTGGTTGCAACTGAAGAGAGAGTGAGGCTGGGGGAATGAGCAATACTTGAGCCAAGATGGCTGTTTCCTGCAGACTGCTTTCTGAGAACCAGCTGGATGTCCTGCCTCAGGGGCAGGGACAGTTCATACTGCAGGAGCCAGAGGCAGCTGCGTTGAAGGCTGGGCTGATCAAAGTCTGCAGAACCCCCAGGTGGTCTGTGTTTTCTTCTCCCTTTTCAGACCTGGAAGGGTTGGTGGGTTCAGGGGCTGTGGCCAGAGGAGGGGGTGGTTAGCCAACTCCAGGCCCCTGCGACAAGGGCTTGTTTGGAAAGCCTGTCACCAGAGCTGCTGTAGGCTGAATGTATGTCTGTGTTGTAAATGCCAGAGCCAACCTGGACTTCCTGTCCTTTCCCTAGTCTCTGGCTGGTGAAAAACATAGTTGTTGCTGCTGTTGGAGCCATTGATCTGTGTAACGAGCTTTAAGCAAGCCTTTTAAAAAGCCATGGGTAGAGAAGCGATATGGTGAGGGGAAGTGGGGGGTATCCGAACACAGTCGACTTTTATTTTCTAAAAAGACAAAAAGATAAAACCAACTCTACAGATTTCCGAACCTGACGTTTATCTTCTTTGGATTTTGACAGAAATTAATTTTTACAGGAAATAAAATATCTTCACTGATTGCAAGCTACAAGTCATGGGGATGGGGGTGGGGAAAGGAAGAAGGCGGAGAAGATAGTCTGGCCAGCCTGCTTTTCCCCCAAAGCTTCTGAAGCCAGAAGGAACAGGTTCTGAGCCCTTCCCCGCCCCCCCACGCCTCAGTCCAGCATTGGGCTGTGGAATGTGTGCTTTTCCTAGGGGTGCCTTTGGGCAAAATGCTCATCACAAAAGCTAGCTGCTTCCCAGCTGCTAGAACCATGGGGGCGGGGTAAGCGTGCTGCATCTCCCTTCTCAATGCAAACATAGGACAACTTCCCTCGCGCGCCCAGGTATGCCCTTTAGTCCAGCGAAGTGGACACCAGCATTGATTAGTATTTTTCTGTTCTTTCCAGACAACATTTCCATGACAATGTATAGTTATATATAGTCATATAATCACCAGGCATTTCCATGTGCCCTCTCTGTCTGCACTCCTTTAGAACTACCAGGAATGACCTCCCACCCTCCCCAAACACAAGAATTCAAGATCAATATAAGATCCAAGTGGTGGTTGCATATTTGGCAGTCTCCGGGCAAGGCCGGGAAGGGAAGATTTACCCCACCATTATGACTAAACCGCGCCCTAACGCAGGGCGAGGACTCACACGGAGGGAGGAGGCACGCAGGGCAGGCCGTGCGCAACTGCGAGGCACATGCCAACCCCCTGGCAGCACTTCGTCAATTTTCTCTGCCCTTCCAGGTGGCGAATCTGCTGTAAGAGTGGAAAAGAGGGAAGAGGAAGGAGCTGGCCACCCAGAGTGAAACAGCCAGGGCGTCTGCGGGGCGGATGCCCCCTAGGTTCAGGGCCAGGTGATCCATCCCCATTGCTCCTAGGTGCCTCCCGCCCCAGCAAAGAGCTGCCCTGCGCTCTGGCCGCGCCCACACTCCAGTCCTTCGCTGGCGGAGCGGTTGCTATGCGTTGCCGTGAAACGCCTGTCAATAAACCCTGTTTGGACAGTGGAGCAAGAGCACAAGGGTTGTTTGCTTAGTGGTTAGAGGTTCAAAAGTCGGCATTGTCCTGCTGCACGCGATTACAAGTTCTTACCCCCTTCCCGGGTTCGGCCCCCTCTTGGCGCGCAGAGATGATCTAGGGGTGCACTCTGAAACACAACCTAACAGACAAACTCCCCTGCCCCCACCCCGCTATCTGCAGCAAACGACTGCCTGAGCCTCCCGGGCCAAGGAAAAAAGGGCCCTCCCGGGCTAGTGACGCTTCGGTCCAGAGACACTGTGTCATCGCTAAAGCCAGCTGGAGGAAACGTGGGATGTGGCGCGAACTGGCAGCACAGCCTCAGTTTAGGCACTGAATTTCAGGGCGCCTAGTGCTTGGAGCTGTTTCACAGTTGAGGACCAAGAGGCCCTTGAGACACCCAGCCGGGCTCAGGCCTCTAGGGGGCTCGTGTGCTCTGGGAAGAGCTGGGGTTTGGCCAGAGCTCTGCGCTCTTTCTGGGGGAAACACCTGGAAAAGGCTCCAGATCAAAGCCAGCCAGATTTCAGCCAGCACCTCTCTTCACCTCAGCTGCTGACACACTGGGGCTCCTGAGATCTCTCGATATAGCCCTGGGCCTGTAGAAAAGAGTTACGGCTGAGAGGGTAGGGATGGGACACAACTCACTAACAGAGTTTAGGATATGAGAGGGGGGTACTGTGTTCAGTCCCCAGGGCCCAAACTTCAAATGCCCAAGTACAGACAAAACACTTGCTGGAGATTCTTGGGCACTGGTGGCGCTCGCCTTTAATCCCAGCAATTTAGAGGCAGGTGGATCTCTAGGAGTTTGAGGTCAGTCTGATCTACAAGTGAGTTCCAGGTCAGCTAAGGAAAACTAGTCTTGAAAAAACCAACCAACCAAAAAACAAAAGAAAACAAATCTGGAGTGGAGATTCTTCATTATAAAAGGGCCCCTTTGCATCATAACCCTCTCCCCCCAAATTTACAGTAGGTTGGAGAAATGGCCGGCCCCGTGGTTAAGAGCACTGGTTGCTCTTCCAGAGGATAAGGGTTCGATTCCCAGCACCCACAAGGCAGTTCACAATCTTCTGTTTCAGGGGATCTGACACCTGTAGACATGGCATACAGACACACACACACACACACACACACACACACACACACGAAAAAAGATAATCATGGAAACAAAACATCCGTGTGGGAGTGTAGGGAAATGCAAGCTATGCTAGGCCATTTTTTCCTCCCCCATGAACAATGTGTGGGCATTCTTAGGCCATCTCATAAAGTTAACGTTTGAAAGGCAAATGAAAGCAAAGGCATCAGTTCTAATATTTAGTCCGATGATGCTTACTTAGTCAAGAAAATGAACTTTAAATAGCAATTAAAACATATAAACAGTTATTTTCTTTCTGCTTTCATAACCAAGAAGGGGAGAAAGAGAAAGCAACACGGGGCTACTGAAAAGCAGAGACGAAATAGGTGTTTTTAGGGCTGTAATCTGCACTTCAGACTACTATTTTAGGGTCTGTTGACCTTGGGGAGATCTCAGCTTTGAGTTGCAGCTCACCTGTCTGTATTATGAGAGTCAGATGAGGTCATAGGTCCATGTATCTTTACAGCACACTTACGATTAGGCCTTCCTAACGGCCACACTGCTTTTTATCATGAACAATCTTGTGCAAAGCGCTCCAGGGCCCTGATGATGAAGAACCTTGGGACGGATCATTTCTCAGATCTCAATAGAATTGCCCCTTCCTGGAACTTTTTTTTTTCCCCTAAATCTTTTAGCTCTTGTTGCTTAGTCAAACCCATGTCGCCTCATACACTTTGGAGTGGCAGAGCACTAACCTGAATTCCAGATGTGAAGACAAGCAAGCAGCTTCCTGGGCACTTCCTTGCTACTCCTAGAAATGTCCAAACACATTGTTTCTAGGAGCATGAAGATTCATTGAAGGTGCTTCTGAACCCTCCTTGTAATTGATCCGTTTTTGTTTATTTGCTTTATTTTTGCTGTTTTGTTCTGTTATTTAGCCCAAAAGGGCAAAAAAGAAAAAAAAAAAAGATCCTTTTCATTTTAAGATGATCTACTCAGCACCATTTTATTAATTCCGTCGTCGTCATTCCCAAGAGTGACGTGTGGCTTTGATTCTCTAAGTCCCCGTCATCCCTCAAGTGTCTTTAAGACAGGTGATCTACTCTGGTCCTTAGGGGTTTCCAGCTATTGAAACGGCTGCAGCAGGTATTGTACCAAATGAGCCTTGAAAGCTAAGAAAGGAAAGCCTACATTATGTAGGTTTACTTGTAAATATTTAAAATGTCATTTAAGTCATCACTAGCTTATAGGCGCTTCTGAGTCTCATGAACTCTTGACTTCATTTGTCCCTTTTCTGGTTCCCTCCCTGCTTCCTCAGAGGTTGTGTTGTGACTATAGGAAACCAGGCAGGTGTTAGTGACAGCTGGAGGAGTAGATGAAAGACCCCAGGGCCAAATCATCACTCAGTGCCTCAATGTTTGTTTGTTTGTTTCCCTTAGCTACAAATAAGAGAATAAATCTACTTCTTACATCAGATTTCTAAGGAGGTTATGGAGCTAGATGTAAAAAGTAAGCTCTGAAATTATTATTTTGAGATAGGGTTTTACTATGGAGCCCTGGCTATCCTGGAATTTGCTATGTAGACCAGGATGACCTCAAACTCACAAAGATCCTCCTGCCCCAGATTTCAGTGAAATCCTTAAGAAAAAAATTAAGCTAGGCTTGATGGTACACATCTTTGAATCCCAACATTCAGGAGACAAGAGGCAGATGGATCTCTGTGGGTTTGAAGTCAGCCTGATCTACATAGTGAGTTCCAGGACAGCCAGGGCTACATGGCAAGATGCTGTCTTTACTTTTTATTTGTTTGGTTTTTTGTTTTTGTTTGAAACAGGGTCTCACTGTGTAGCTCTGACTGAACTGGAAGTCACAATGTAGATCAGGCTGACTTCAAACCCACAGAAATCCACCAGCCTCTATCTCCTGAGTGCTGTAATTAAAGGTCATTATGTCTGATGGAGATCCTGTCCTTGTTTGTTTGTTTGTTTTGAGACTGGATTTCTATGTGTGACAGCCCTGGCTGTCCTGGAACTTGCTTTGTAGTCCAGGCTGGCCTGGAACTAACATCCCCCTGCCTGAGTGCTGGGATTAAAGAAGTTTGCTCCCATGGTGACCAAAAAAAAAAAAAAAAAAAAAAAAAAAAAAAACCAGCATAATATATCCAGTTCAGAGAATAGACCAGCATATATCTGACATTCTTTTGTTTTAAAGATTTATTTATCTATTATATATAGTGTTCTGTCTGCATGTATGCCTGAAGGCCAGAAGAGGGCACCAGATCTCATTCCAGATAGTTGTGAGTCACCATGTGGTTTCTGGGAATTGAACTAAAGACTTCTGAAAGATCAGCTAGTGCTCTTAACCACGGAGCCATCTCTCTTGTCCCATACCTGAGATTCTTTGGGAGAAATCTGCACAGAGAAGGTGGGGGCTGGTAAACAGGTGACCTTCTGTCTCCTTTGTCTCCACTACCCAAACATTAACATTTGTTTTAACAACAACAACATCTCCAAATTGGAATTTGTGATTAACAACTGCAGGTATAGATACTATCAACCAAGATACCAAGCCCCAGAGCGAAAAGTTTATTTTTCTTCCTGCAAGCCCTTGGCGATTCTGGGCTAGGGGTTGAACACACAAACCAAAGCACAGCTAGGTTTGGTTTGGTTCTTCATCTGGGGCTGTGGAGGTTAAACCCAAGGATTCATGGGTATGAGACCACTGAGCTACCCTGAAGACTTCCCCCAGAGGAAGTGGCTACTGAATCATCTCTTCATGTGCATACATTTACATCCACAATAATATTCAGCTCATGCACTGAGTTTATGGGTGCAATATTATATTGGTAGTAGAACCCCTGCATGTCTATTTTAGCTTCTAGAAAATGAATTATTTTCTTGAGGCTCATGTGCTATTACAGAACTCTTGGGGTTAGCAGCCTGCTGT